CCCCCCCCCGGTCGTCGGCCCAGCCCCATGCCTAACTCGCACTCCATCGCACCCTGGCCCCGCATAGCTTGCCCCCACCACTTGGCCTTGCTACAAAAAGAAGGGCTTGACCCTGGAACAGGCGGTGCATGACATCATGCAGGCGGCTTTCCCGGAGTCCGGCGTGCAACTCCGGCGCGAAAGCAGCGGCTCCACATCCGGCGGCGCCCCGGCCGCGAATGCCCTGAACTCCGCGGCGGCTGACACCGCGGCCGAGACCTCGGCAGCCGAGACGTCCGCCGCCCCGACTGCCTCGTCCTCCCCCTCGGCCTCGAGCAGCCAGCTCGGCGGGGCCAATCTGTCCGAAGCGGCCAGCCTGCAGAAGGATGTCTATGTGCTGGGCAAGACCAAGATTTTCATTCGCAACCCCTCGACCGTGGCCGACCTGGAAAGCCAGCGCAACCAGTCGAAGGACCGCATGGCCTCATTGATCGGGGCATGTGCCCTGCGGTTTGTCTACCGCCGGCGGTTCCTGGCCATGCGCCAGGCGGCCACCAAGCTGGCGGCCCTCTGGCGTGGCTACAACGACCGGATGAACTATCTGGACTATCGCGACCAGGTGATCATCGTGCAGGCCTGCGTGCGGGGCACCCTGGCGCGCATCAAATTCCGCCGGATGCAACGGTCCTTCCCCAAGCATGCAGCCACGTACCTGCAGCAGCAGTATCGCCTGCGCTGGCGCCGGCGCTTCTTGCTGGCCCTGGCGGCCGAGGTGGCGGCCGCCGGGCCGGCCGGCCTGAAGAAGGAGCACTGGCCGTTGGTGACCCCGCGCAGCGCGTCGCTCGGGAGCACGCGCTCGCAATCGGTCGCCGCCCAGCAGCCAGTGCATCCCGACACGCCGGCCTGGCGTCTGCTTTCGCCCCTGGTGGCCGACTGCTCGGCCCTCCTTTACCCGATGTACCGCCGGCAGCAGCTGGCCCTCTACCGCCGGCAGCTGTCGCCCGAGCGTCGCCGCGTGCTGGAGCTTAAGCTGGAGGCCAGCAATCTCATGTCCAAACGGACGGACTACCCTTCCAGGTGCGCACAGCGCCCTCGTTTGCTCTTCTTCCTCTCCTCCCTCCTTGATCGCTGCTTTTCTCGGGCCGGTCTGCTCTTTCTCTCTCTCCCTCTCTCTCCCTCTCTCTCCCTCTCTCTCCCTCTCTCCC